CAGAATTCCCCAGCCAGCTGGCTGGGGAATTCTGGGAGTCGAAGTCCGCCAGGCTTCAAGGGCCCAAGCTTGGAGATCCCTGCTTTAACAGACAGTGAGAAGGAAGGGAGGGAGAGAGGGGGAAGGAAGGAGGAAGGAGGGAGGGAGGGAGGAAAAAGGGAGGGAGGAAGGAAGGAGGGAGGGAAGAGAGAGGAGAAGAAGGAAGGAGATTTCTTCTTGTAATCTCAACACGCTCAGGATTTTTTGCCATACTACAGGTAGTCCTCGACGTACGAGCCCCAAGTTTATGTTGCTAAGTGAGAAAGTTGTTCAGTGAGTTTTGCCTCATTTGACGACTTTTCTTGCCACGTTTGTTAAGCGAATCTCTGCCGTTGTTAAATTAGCAACAGGGTTAAGCGAATCTGGTTTCCTCCTGCTTGTCGGAAGGACACAAAAGTTGATCCTGTGATCCCAGTGCTACAACCATCATAAATGTGAGTCAGTTGTCCAGCATTTGAATGTAAATCTCGCGCAACCGTGGGGATCAGTGGTGTGATTCAAAACATTTTACTACCGCTTCTGTGGGCGTGGCTTGGTGGGCGTGGCAGGGGAAGGAGACAGCAAAATCTCCATTCCTTCTCCACCCCACTAACCTGCTTTCCAGCTCTGTTCTCCTGTGCAGGGCAACGAAAGAAGACCCAGCCCATCAGTTGGGACTCAGGAGGCAGAGAATGAACTGGAATGGGTGACCCACCTTGACCCAGTTTTGTTGTCCCTTCGCTACCTGGCTTTTTGTATCGGTCCCCAAAGAAGCCAGCATTGTCAAGTGTAGACGTCTCTTCTCCAACTCAGATTCAAATTCAAGCTGGAGAAAAATGCCTTCTTATAAATCAAGCGCAGGCTCCCCGAAATATCAGTTTCGCAACAAGAAATCCCTGTTTTAAAATGCATGGTGTGTAGACATTGTCACTCGAGAGTTAAGAACGAATTAAGGAGTACTGGGTCAGTGTGGAAATTAAGGGGGGAAATCTAATTTGGGGAAATAGCCCCTTTTTGTTCAGCAATCATTAATAATCAACTTCTTGTGCCGATTTTAGGACAGACTCCACCTGGTGTTATATTACATCATTGCAAAGGAACTCTACATTCACTGTGTATTATGCAGCAAAATAACAAAATGCCGTATCCAGTAACCATTTTAACTTTGCAATAGTAAAAAAATTTAATGGAATTATCAGAGAAATTCTGGAAAAGGAAATGTAAAGAGGAATCAGCATGGGAAAACCACTAGCTTTCTGTTTGTTTTCTCTTCCTCTCTCTCCTCTCTGTCCCTAAGCATAAAAATCAGAAATATGTATCCTATTTTGCACTCAAAACAGAAGGATTATTGGAGAAATGTCTGTGACAGATAACCTATATTTGTACGTGCATCCTTGGCATTTCATTTCAATAGATTTAAAAGTGTATGAAATGTATAGTGATATACAATGCACTTAGTCAATATTGACTGATTTGGAAAGATTATACCTAGTTTGTAATTAGTTGGGTAGCCAGAAGGAAACCCTCTGGCTATGTATTAGACTGAGAAGCTGAATGAACATTTTGGAAGAAAACAATGCAAAGATATTGTAGTTGCCAAGAAAACAATATGGCTATGCAGTAATCAAGAATCAAGCTCATTTCAAGGGAAACTTTCAGCACAAAATCGACTTTGTGTACATTTTCTGTCTAAAGCATACCTGGGAGGTGATAGTGAGGCTAAAATCCTGATCTCGGTTGCTCTCGTTGTATTCCACAATTTATTGTTCTCTCTGTTCCTTCTTCAAAGCTATTTTTTGTCTCTTGGACATGGGGAAGAGAAATATTCCCTCTTTTAACGAAGTCTCGGGGCAAACTATTTGTGTTATTATATTTCATTTTAAAAACTGCTTTAAAAATATTAAATAAAACCTCAAATTTATCTGATCTCAATGCAAGGGTCTTCATAAGCAATGAACTAAATTTTCAGGCAGTGTACAAGATGACTTCATTGCATAAAAAAATGTGTTTCACTTGGTGATACAAAGTAAACCTCATATCCATTTACATCATTTGCACAATGATCAGGCAAATCATGTAATTGATATCATTTGCATAACATTTTCAAATGATGTACATTTTCTCAGTGACCTTTCATATTTAACAGACAATCTTAGCTCCCCTCCCTCCAGTGGTCTGTTCTGATATTCTAGAAAGCCTGTGCTTGATTTATGAGAAGGTCCATTTAGACTAACTTGTTCAGCATGTTGCCACTTACTTCAATTTCTTTAAATTCTTTAGGCTATCAGTTAATTTTGTACTTTTGTACTTGAACAAAGATTAACTCACCGGGTGGTTTTTCAACCTCGTTGCATTGAAGATCTCTTTTAAGTTTGAAAGAATTCAAAGAAGTTTAGAAAGTGAGGCTTAATCAACTCAGTATCCATACGAGGCTTTATCACAATTGAAAGCTTGATGGCCGTTATGACTTCCGTCATGTCCTGGTGTTCAGACCTGTGGGAAATTGTTGTCCTGCAATCTCCTCGCAAGGAGCTGCTTTCTAAAGCACAAGTGGTCAATCTCTCCTCCTTTATCCAGAGATGTTATGTTACAATAGGCTTGTCAGTGGCCTGTCAGTCCTTATAGTCAGGGGTGGGATTCAAATTTTTTAACAACCAGTTCTGTGGGCATGGCTTAATTGGTGGGCGTGGCTTGGTGGTCATATGACTGGGTGGACATGGCTTGGTGGTCATGTTAGTGGCTGCGCGTGACCAACTCAGTATCACTCACATCGAGGCACGCATCTCCTCACCTAGTCTTTCATGACTGTGGGGATGCTGCAAGAGTCGTAAGTGTGAAAAATGGTCGTAAGTCACTTTTTTCAGTGCCGTTGTAACTTTGAATGGTCACTCAACCCAAGCAAAGTACCAGCAAAGGAGGGGGGAAAATTCCAGAGAAGTTCCTGAGACAGGAAGTCTAGTCCTGACAAGAATGTAATAAGGGTTAATAGAGAGACAGTTTCTGTAAGCAACACCAGAATGTTTCCTTCCTGCCTTCCTTACAGGATTAGGCCAGTAATTACTTCTAACAACCAGTTCTCCAAACTGCTTAGAATGTTAACAACTGGTTCTAGTGAATAGGTGCGAACTGGTAGAATCCCTCCCCTGCTTGTAGTCTCTATTTCTGTGAAGACATCTAGTTTACCCTTTCTTGGAAGTCAAAATCCTTTCTGCCCTTTGGGCTATTTTAAGAATATAAGCAGTGCCTTGCTGGGACAGAAGCCTGGCCCTCTAGTCCAGCAGTCCATTCTCACTTGGCCAGCCAATTGCACAAGGAGTACCACTAGTCTCCCAGAGATGGCCTTCAGAGGCAGTCCCATTATCATCAAGGAACTACATCTTAATATAAGGTTCTCTACTAGGCTATCAAGGACTTGGGGGATTCCTGAGTTTTTATTTGTAAACTGTCTTCCTCCTAAGGGAGAGAAAAGAATATTTGGCATCCTCCCTCTTCCAAATCATAGTCACGTTTCCTAGCAGAAGCAAAGAAAGAACTACGTTTGGAAGAACACCTAATACTAATTTCCTAAACCCACGTTGGCAAACCTATGGCGCGTGTGCCAGAGGTGTCATGCAGAGCCGTCTCTCTGGCCACGCGAGCTATCACCCCAGCTCGGCATTGCCATGCATGCATGTGGCGCCTCCCGTGGCTCAGAAGTAAACCAGGGAGGAAAGCTTACATTGTCAGTTGTTTTGCAATATGTTGCATGTGACTTCAGCTTGGCAAAATAAGAATTTAAATAAGCTGGCTCAGAAAACCATGCTGGGACAGTGATCTCTCCGCTGTTACAAGCTCTGTTTTCCTTGCATTTCACTTTCCATTTGCAGGTTGTGGACGGTAAACTGTGGTTCCAGTTGGACTGTGGTGGTGGACCGGGCATCCTGGGAATTTCAGGCAGGACTGTGAATGATGGGAGTTGGCATTCTGTGTTCCTTGAGTTGAACCGGAACTTCACCAGCCTCTCGCTCGACGATAGCTACGTGGAGAGGCGCAAAGCTCCCCTTTATTTCCAGACCCTGAGCACCGATAGCTCCGTTTATTTCGGAGCCCAGGTCCAGGTAGACAATATCCGAAGCTTAACAGACAAGAGGTCCACCCAGGTCTTGAGCGGCTTCCAAGGCTGTTTGGATTCCATCGTCCTCAATAACAACGAGTTGCCCCTCCAGAACAAACGCAGCAGCTTTGCGGAAGTGGTGGGACTAACCGAACTGAAGCTTGGCTGTGTGCTGTATCCTGACCCCTGTGAACGTAACCCTTGTCAGAACGGAGGAACCTGTATCAGTGTGCCATCTGGGGGTGAGTATTCTCCCTTTGTCCTTGGAAATTTTCAGAGTAAGGGGTGAGCTCAGTGGACTCCTGGTGGCATAAGTGCAGTATTGCAGGCAAACTCTGCCCACAGTTTAGAGTTCGATCCTGACTGGCTCATAGAGGTGGCGCATTAGCTGGAATGCAATAAGGCAGGCTAACTCCCCGCTCCCTGCCAGGGTTCGATCTTGACCAGCTCAAGGTTGACTCAGCCCTTCTATCCATCCAAGGTGAGTAAAATGAGGACCCAGATTGTTGGGGGCAACATGCTGATATTGTAAACTGCTTGGGGCGGTAATATAAGTCGAAGTGCTATTGCTATTAATTCATGCTTCCATCCATCCTTCCAAGATTGATAAAATGGGGAGCCAGATTTGGGTATGGGGGAAACAATATGAAAATAATGCTTAGATTTTGACTGCCCAGAGAGTGCTGCAAAGCACTATGGGATGGGATGTAACTCTCAGTGATATTGGTACTATGCCATCTGCTTTTCATGCCAACCCTCCGTCCATTTGTCGATTGATTTTCAGCTGCAGAGAGAAATTGGAAACATCCTACACGTCTTTCTGCATAGCATTAATCCACAGCGCCATCAATGGTATAATATATTCCATTTGTCTTCGATCAGACATATTGACTTACCGTGTGTTGGGCAGCATCCCCCTACTCATAATAATTCTTTGCACTCTTAATTGGTCTGAGTGTCCCTAACTCACTCTTTCTGTACATGATTGATTGGGGCTCTGCGCTGCAATCAATCATTCCAGTGATCTCCTAACCCATCCAAGATGCTGGGCTCTGGACCCATCCAACTTTGGCAATGGTGATCATCACAGTGATAATGATTTGTTGTTTGACGTGACAACACATCTATTGATCACAGAGTCTAACCCTCTTCCTATTGCTATGTCTCCTATTCCTCTGTGAACCCTGAGTATAATAATTTCCCTTTATTTTGAACCTGTGCTGTCATTCAGACCCCCACCTCGAATAACGTGCCATGAAGAGAAATTAAAATATTTAGCCTGAAGAAGAGAACTTTGATGGCGAGTATGGCACTGCAGGGAGTAAGGAAGATAAATTTTTACTTGCTGGAAAAACGGAAGAATGGTTTCCTAAGGGAAAGTTGAAATATTTTTGAAGTCCAGAGTGAGCAGATAGCGTTCAGAAAGGATTCAGGCAGATTCCTTGTACTAAATAAGAGCCGTGGTGGCGCAGTAGTTAGAATGTGGTACTGCAGGGCTAACTCACTGCTCATTCCAGGAGTTCGATTCTGAGCAGCTCAAGGTTGACTCAGCCTTCCATCCTTCCGAGGTCGGTAAAAGATTTTTTTTTGGGGGGGGGAATATGCTGACTCTGTAAACTGCTTAGAAAGGGCTGTAAAGCACTGTGAAGCAGTATATAAGACTAAGTGCTATTGCTAGAAAGGGCTG